TGCCACCATTAAATAAAAAAACATATTTAAAAAATCTTCTACCTCAACACTTAAATCTTTTTCCTTTTTCCAACCATTTGTCAATGCAGCTCACAAATCATCAGGAAACTATCTGAATTACTCGCCCACTTGTAGCTTCACAATTGTCCAGAAGTAGTAGTCTTTTTTTAATTTGTTTAATTTAATTAATAATAATTAACACACGTGTATCTTCTGTTTTTGTGGATTTATGTAACTGTATGTGCTGTGTAATATATTTTAATTAAGTGTTTGACCATAGACTAGATCCTGTAAATGTTACTGAATGTGATGTCAGGATATATTGCAAATATATATTATGTATGTTGATATAAATGATATAAAATATGATATATTACCTATTAAATTTTTGACTGATTCAGTCCTTGAGTTTGAGTCAAACAACACAAACTTTTACTGGTCGGCTCATTCCTGAGATACCTTCTGTAAATATATTTATGCATATATATTTATATATGTATGTATATATGTATGATAGATAGATGCATGAATGGATAGCTAGAATATATAAATATAGACGCATATTTATGTGTATATATGTACTGTATATATGCATATATATTTACATATATAGTATGTGTCCTCCTACACAGGTCCCCATCGTGATCTTTGATCTTCATGGTCTTTGACATTGGTTTACTATGACAGATGCATTTGCTCCAGCTTAGACAGATTTGGTGACCACCACGGTGAGTGAAGATCATGTGACCAGCTGGTTAGAAAGGCTGAACTAAATCTGGCCGTTACAGATCCTTCGGCTGCTGAGCGAGTCAGAGCGCGCGAACAGATGAAGCAGTGGCCTGTAGCCAGAAAGGTCAGCGAGACAATCAACGACCATGGGTCAAGAAGAAAGTCGCAACGAGGAGATGGATACGGCACGAATCCAAGAGCTGTGCATCGTTTTCATGAGGGAATGCCCCAGTGGGTCTCTGCATTTACACGAGCTGAGGAGGATATTTGGCGTCCCCAGCAGCTCCGTGGAGGAGGCCCTCTTCGTCGAGACAGTGTTCCGGTCATTTGATACAAATAAGGTAAACAAAAAAAACCATAAATAGATAAATGCTATAATTTGAGACTTTAACATTAGATTTTTTTAAAAATGTAAATGTTTTCTTTCTGTAGGATAATGCGCTCGATTTCCTGGAGTACGTAGCAGCACTGCACTTGATTTTTCGAGGCAATCTTGAGGATCGACTCAGATGGTCTTTTAAGATGTACGACAAAGACGGGAATGGGAAGCTGGACAAGCAGGAGGTGAAACGGATCATTAAGGTGAGAATCGTTACGGTGAATGCCTTTGTAGGACTGTTTTGGTTTTTTAATTTCGTGTTTGTTACTAAGTTCAAATGTCAGGTGGATCTGGGGTTTTCAACAGGTTTTGTAACCACAGCAGATTACAGAGCTGCTGTCATAAGGCTTATGGCCTTAGGTCACGACCTTAGGGTATTATAAAACGTTTTTTTTAACTATGCTAGACTTTACAGTAAGCCTCTAAAGTAGCTGAGATTAGCCCACAGTTCACACAATAGGTAACCTGAAGTTGATTTAAGGTAATGGCTGTGTAGCAGTAAATATATATATGTATATATATATTTATATATGATAAAGTGTTAATATGGCAGATATAACACTGCACTGTACAAAATCCTAACAAATTAAAACAATGTAGAGTATACATTGTTTTAGTGGTGTCCAATAGTAGATCGCAAAGGCAGTACTGGTAGATCATGAACAATTAAAATAAAAATTAAAAATAAAGATTTTTTTTTAAATATATTTTTATATTTAATCCCTAGATTAACTAGATTGGCAACCACTTCAATTACTGATTCACATCATCACATCATCACTTTGGTCTGGCCAACTGAAAAGTAGCTACTTATACAGTATAAGGCTTATATATATAATGAGAAAAGGCCTCATGATCACATATATATATATACATATATATAAATATATATATGTATATATATATATATATACATATATATAAATATATATATGTATATATATATATGTATGTAATTGAGGTGGAAATAAGGAGATGGAGTGAAAGCTGCGAAAATCAGGTTAATAATGATGTTGTGTGATGAACTGTTGGGGAGAGAGTTTCCAGGGAGATTTAGTATCAAGAGTAAATCAGATACAACAGATCTGGAGAGATAAAGGAAGATGGATTAGTGACACTGTGGCGATCTGTTAATCAGAGCCGCTTGATTCGCATAAAGAAATTAGATTAGATTAGATTACTAGATTAGAATTGAGTTGCTTTGAACACCAGAGTAAATGACCAGAGTCAAATATCATTGACTTCAGCCAAAGGGCTCAGAGGCTGCACACTGACAAAACAGTAGTAAATAAAAAAATGTCAGAAGAAGGACAGACTTTATAAACTCACATAAGAAAATTAAATAAATAATAAATAAATAATGTTGTCTTTTGTGTTTATCTGTGTTTATCTCCACAATTCCAACGTCTCCAACATTGTTTCCTGTTGCTACGGCAGACGATGTCAGCTGCAGATTTTTTTTTCTGCTAAAGAATAGTTTTTCCTCAACATTGTTGGCAAAATTTTTAATTTGGGTTTTCAATAATATTTGTTTAAAAAATGAGGCTTTACCTTGTAGTGATATTTTTCACCCCCCTGTTCTTTGGGACATTTGGGGAAGATTGTCTTTATTCAAATTTTAAATTAATTTAAATTTTAAATTTGAAGTCCAGTGTGTCCAATTTGGCCCGTACAGTATAAATGCATGTTGACCTGAACTCCCACACATTTTCTGCGGTCCCTACAGATAATTTACAAAGTGAAGGTTCAGACCAGTGAAGTCGACATGGGTCCTTCTGAAATCTGTGACAGGATCTTTGATCTGGTGGATCAGAATCATGACGGTAAGAAATCATTGTACAGAAATGAGAGTTTACAGTGATGCTTAGCAAATCTTTATTCATCGTATTCTCTTTGTTTCCCAGGTCAGATAACATTGTCAGAGTTCATGGAAGGAGCTCAGAAAGACGAGTGGTTGATGAACATGCTCAAACTGGACATCAACGTGACCGGCTGGGTCAACCAGAACAGTTGGAAAAAGTCCTGACCCTGTCACCTATAGTGGGCACACTGCCCACTTTTATTTAATTCTAACACTGACCCAAAAGTCTGGTCGAAGCCGCTGCTGCATTTAAAAATGATTTTTTTTTTACTGCACGCTTCCTGTGGCTCGCAGTCAAAGTGCACCGCCTTGTGGTCCACGACCACGACTGTCCTGGATTTGAAGGCGGCTCAAGAGGTCAGGAGGAGTACTGTGCACATGACCTCTGGTACTGACTGATAAAGTTGTACTGTACATTTGTAAATGTCAGTTTGTGCACAGTTTTTGTTTGGTTTGTTATATATTACACATGTTTGTTTTGACTAATGTTAAAGCATTCATTTATGTTCAGAACACACTTTTTTGCAGTCAAATCTGTACCACCTGATAAAACATCGAGCTCTGAGTACCACCGTTTGAGAACAGTGGTTCTCAAACTGTGGTACGCGTACCACTACACTGTTTTATGCAAACTATACAAACACGGAAAAATGATTGTTGAATAAAAGACGAAAAGATGAAAATTTATACATATAAAATGCATATATTGAAATATATAATATATAATA